TGTATATTTTTTTAGATTTTTAGATAAGAGTTATTATCCTTGAAAATCCAACATTATCTTAATAAAATAATTTAAAAAATACTAAAAATCATGATTTTTTTTCTCTATAAATATAGTATAATATTGATATAGTTAATATCTCATCTTAACTCTTCATTTATAAACCTTTTTATTTCTTTGATACCATGGATCCAAATTTCGTTTAAAATCTTGACGATTCTCAAGATTATCATTACTTTCAAGGTTATGAAAGCTCTCAATTTTTCACAAATCTCAATCAAGTCCCTATCACTGAAAATATTCAAACCTCACAAAATACCGGAAAAACCCAAGAGGCGATAAATGGGATGCTGATGAAGATATCGCTTTAATGTCAGCATATTACATCGTTAGTGAAGATAAGCGTCGTGAAAAAAAACCAAAAGAAAACGTCAACATGGGCACAAGTGAAGGAGCTATATGATGCAAATCAAGTAGAAAACCTAGGAAAGCTAGGTAATAGGAACATAGCTCAAATGAAAGGTCGTTATAAACGACTTAACGAAAGTGTTGGAAAATAGGTTGGTGTTTACCAAGAAGAATATAGAAAAAGAAGAAGTGGAATGAATATGAAAGATGTTGAGAATGAAGCTCATAAGTTATGTGAGACAAGTGGAAGCAAGTTTAATGACATGATTGTTTTTAATGAGGTTATGTGTAAGGATCAAAAATGGGATCTATAGCTAGATCATGATGCAACATGATCATGTCCTAAATATGAAGTGGATGATGAAGAAAGTGGTGGTAGCACTAAAAGATCAAGGTCTACTGAAGAAGAAGACTATTGTGTTCAATCCAACACAGAAGGGGAAAATATTGGAGGTTCAACAATTAAACGTCCAACAAGTAGAGATGTGGCTAAAAGAAAAAAAAAGGTAAGTCTTCTAATGAAGTTGTTGCAGAACTTAGTGCAATGAGGCTTAGTACAGATAGTGAAGTAGAAGTAATGAAAAAAAGACTCGACTTGGATCACAAAGGGAGCAAAAAACGGATGAAAAGGAGCTAATAAAGATGCAGAGTTTGCATTTGAACACACTCCTACAAAAGGAGCAATTGTCGCCTGAAGAAGAAAACATGAAACAATTTCTAATGTCTAAGTTTTATGGAAACTAATTACAGTTTAGTAGGGATGAGCATCGGAACCGGGTACCTGCTTTCGGAACCGGAACCGCCTTGGAACTGCCGGTTCCGAAACTGGAACCGCCTTAAGCGGTTCCGGTTCCGGTTCCTAAAGTTACGGAACCGCCTTAAGTGGTTCCGGTTCCGGTTCTCATTTTTTAGGAACCGCTACCCGCTGGGTATCCGCCGGAACCGGTATATATATATATATATATATATATATATATATATATATATATATATATATATATATATATATATATATATATATATATATATTAGTATCTAGTATGAATATATGCGTGCGCTATTTTGACCGATTTAGAAAATATTGGTCCGATTTTGTCTGTTTTTGTTCCGAATTTATTCGATTCCGACCGAAATAAATTATAGTTTTATTGAAATTTTTTAATAAAGTTGATGTAACCGGGTTACCCGCTCCCGGAACCGGAACCGCCGGTTCCAGGACTGGTTCCAAAAATTGAAGAACTGCCTAGACCGGTTCCGGTTCCGGTTCTAACTTTCTAGGAACCGCCGGTTCCGGTTCCGGTTCCGGTTCTCGCCAAATGAGGCGGGTACCCGCCTACGCTCATCCCTACAGTTTAGTGTATATTTTATTTTCAGTATGCTTTTAATGTATTTGTAAGATATTTTAGTATGTATTTGTATCTCATGCTTTTAATGTATTTGTAAGATATTTTATTATGTATTTGTATCTCATGCTTTTAATGTATTTGTAGTATATATTATATGCTTTTATTGAATATAGCCAATGACCGATATTTTCAACAAAGACGTGATGCCACAGGCAGATAAGGTGTTTCACCATTACAAAAATGTACTAGAGCTATGCGGGTGTTGGCGTATGAGACATCAGCAGATGCACATGATGAATATTTGAGAATGAGTAAGACTGTAACAAGAGATGCTCTTGTAAAATTGTGGAAGGTGTTATTTCATTCTTTCGTGAAGAGTATCTTAGACACCCCAATCAAGATGATTTGCCACAACTGCTCTATGTTGGAGAAGAACGTGGATTTCCAGGTATTGTAGGCAGTATTGACTGCATGCACTAGGAATGGGAAAATTGTCCCACGGTTGGGCTGGACAATATGTAGGTAGAAGCGGTAAGACAATAATTTTGGAAGCTATTGCATCATATGACTTATGGATATGGCATGCATTCTTCGGAACACCGGTTTCATGCAACGACATTAACATCCTCCAAAGATCTCCTCTTTTTGATAATGTCTTGGTAGGTCGAGCACCATAGGTGAGTTACACTATGAATGATTGACAAAATCATATGACTTATTATCTCACCGATGACATATATCCTTCATGGGCTGCCTTGTCAAGTCAATAAGTTCTCCATAACTTCGAAAACACAAGTTGTTCGCTGAACATCAAGAGACTGCTAGAAAAGATGTTGAACGAGCATTTGGAGTTTTACAAGCTCGTTTTGCATTTCTTCATCACCCTTGTCTTGTGTGGGACAAAGATATGATGGGTAAAATTATGATTGCATGTATCATCATTCATAATATGATAGTTGAGGATGAACGACACACATAACTTCATTATTATGATCCATCCGAATTTATAACAATAGAAGACGAACAATCATTTGAATCTCTACTCAAGGAATTGCAAATCTATCTAGTTATATGACCAATAGGGCACAAGTTCTCAATAGAGATGCTCATAACGCTCTAAAAGATGATTTGATTGAGCATATATGGAAAAAATTCAACACTGAAGAATAATTAAGTAGTTTGCATCTTCCATATTTGTAACTTATTTTATCTATTTTATTAAGCATGTTTCATGAATGTAAAATAATTTTTTATCTAGTTTATATATATATATATATATATATATATATATATATATATATATATATATATATATATATTTGTAGTTTCATGCTTAAAATAAATAATTTGTTTGTTTCAAAATAAAATATTTAATTTTAATAGTTCTAGTAGTTTTTAGTAAAATAAAGACAAAATTGCAAAAATGGTCCTTGTGGTATGCAAAATTTTGGGGTTTAGTCCAAACAGTGATTTTTTTGGTTTCGTAGTCTTTTTGGAGTGGTTTGTATGTGAAAATGGCCCATCCAAAAATTGAAATGACTATAATACCCTTGGGGTATTTATTTTTCATTTTTTTTAATTTAATATTTATTTATTTATTTTAACAATTAAAAAATAATATTTATTTATTTATTTTAACAATTAAAAAATATTTATTTATTTATTTCTCAACTGATTCATCTATAAAGAAATCAAGCTTTTTTTGTACTTGAATAACAGGAATCGACATTGAAACCACTGTTATCAAGGTTTGAAATCGATGCACCCTTGAAGAACAATCGTACAAACACACATCTGCTTCAATTACAAAATTTCACCCTTGAAGAACAATCGGACAAACACATATCTGCTTCAATTACAAAATTTCACTCAGATACAACCAATGAAAATAAGAAGAAATAGATAAAGAACAAGAAAGGTTAATTCTCCAAAATCTAAATATGGAAAAAACAACAATTAACGATGGTCAAAATTAGCCCGCAAAAATTAATTGGGATATGAACCCTAGATTTCAAGAAATTAACCATTTGAAACCAAATACAAACATCAGAATTCTAACTTAGATCACCGAGACACACAAATTACTAAGTAAACAGTCTTACACTCTTCAAAATCATACAAGGCGGAAAGAAACTTGAGGCCTGAAGTTGTTGCCGATGAAGAAGGAAAGACGATCAATAAACATCCTTGTGAAATTGATTTTGGCTCAGTATCCAAGAACAAAATGAGAATTCGACAATGTTGGATCAATAATCAAGCGCCATGCTTGGTGTGTCGGTGAAACAACCAAGTCGCAAGAAAATCATTGTGGTAGATAATCGAAGTTAGGGCTCCAATGTCGATTATCTAAATCAGTAGGGCGTCCTCCATACCCCTGTTCTTGTTCTTTTTCCGAATGAACCAATAACTCACACACTTGTTTCATTTTCAGCAACAATGGAGGGTAACATTGGACGGCTTCTCGATGGATGCTTTCTTGATGGGAGGGAAGAAAGGTGAAGATCGAAGAAGAAAGGAGGTCGTTGCTAAGGCGACTTGTCGAAGTAGGGGTGTTTAGCTAGGATTAACAGACGAAGGTGAGGCTGGTAAAGGAGGAAACGGTTGTGTTGAGCTCTCATGGAGATTTTAGGATTACGTTTCTTATGATTCAAATTATGAGGAAACGAACAAACAAACCCAGAGAAATGAGAGAGAGAGAGAGAGAGAGAGAGAGAGAGAGAGAGAGAGAGAAAGAAAGAAAGAGAGAGAGGTGGGCCATTTTTTATTTTTTTAATTGTTAAAATAAATAAATAAATATTAAATTTTAAGAATAATGAAAGAAAAATGAAAAATAAATACTCGAAGGATAATATAGTCATTTTAATTTTCGGACGGACCATTTTCACAAACAAACCACTCCAAAAGGACTACGAAACCAAAAAAGTCACTGTTTGGATTAAAACCCTAAAATTTTGTATACCACAGGGATTATTTTTGCAATTTTGTCTAAAATAAAAATAAAAATAAATTATATTTTTTAAGGAAAAGTGAGTTTGGGTTGGTAGTGTAAAAAATTAGATTGGATTAGGTTGTATAGGTAGAAAAAGAAAAAAAAAAATTTTTATTGAAAAATTAGATTTAATTGGGTTGGATAGTCTTATAACACAATCCACTCTTAAAATAAATAAATAAATAATATGGGGTAGGCTTATGTAATGGAAAGGTACATGGATTTATATTTATTTATATTATACTTGAAGGGTTTCTATGCAATTGTTTAATAGTAGGCACGGATGTGGCGTTGATGACCCCCTCTCTCTCTCACACACACACTTCGCCATTGTTGCTGCTTGAGCTTTGATCCGATGGTTCTACCGAATGCGGCAGCCACAATACTTCTCACGGCACTCATTACACTCTCTCCTTTCGCCTTCTCTTCTCTCGTCGACGATGCATACCCATCCCCATATACCGCTGCGATGACATCCTGCGACCTCGACGAGGGCGGCAGACTCTCCCCTATCCGCAGAGAAGTCTACGATGAGGGTCGTATCATCGACATAAGTCACCGATACCACCCTGACATGCCTTCATGGGGATCGGACGACGGCCTTGGAGAGTTCCTCCGGCTTCCCGCAAGTATGAAGAACGGCTCACTCGCCAACAATTCCGAGATGAAAATCCCCACACATACTGGGACCCACGTGGATGCCCCAGGACACGTTTATGATCACTATTTTGATGCCGGTTTCGATGTTGACACGCTTGACCTTCACGTTCTCAATGGTGAGTTTCACTGAGCAAAGATTTTTTAATTGAGTGTAAGCTGTTTGATTTAATGCCTTAATGAAACTTTGAGCTTTGTTAAAAAATAAAAATACTATCTTCTTAAAAGGGCAACAGAAAGAATTTCCATGACAAAATCTGTTTCATTTCTACATTCAAAAGAGTAATAATTCTGACGGAAGAAGTGAAAGTATTGTTGTTTTGCGATAAATAAAGTAAGGGATTTATTTGGTAGGCTTTCAACATCCAAAAAAAACAACAATAACTTCAATTAAAAAGAATTTCCTCGTTGATTTTCTTGAACTTCTTTCATCTGCATAAATTTCTTGACTTTGAAAAAAGATTTCATTCGATCTCAAAAGTGCAACTCTCCATTGTATTTTCCCTTTCCTTTTTCCAAACAGAGTGAGCTTGTAGCTTTCTCTCCATGTGTCTTTCCTCAAAATAGTGTCACCTAACAAGAATAGTTTAATCATCATTTATCAAAATAGCATACAACGTGTCATCAATTTAGCAACATGTCACGTATTTTCTTGGACTTTTGTGACTTTTGTGAGGGGACAACTTTAATGTGCTCATAAAAGATCGAAGCATGAAAATGAAAGGTGATGCTTTTCCACCACAACCACCCATCTAACTTCTTCCAAAAGATCATTCGAAGAGATTATCAAGAAAGATGAACCCTAAATTGATATTTATCTTGCTTATTATACCTTATGTGTCATCTTTCCCACAAGAAAACGCATACCCATCTCCATATAGTGAAGAAGAGTTGATTCCTCCAAGAAGGGAAGTATATGGAAGTGGGAGAATTTACGATATTACCCATAGGGTTACATCTGGAACACTCTCGGGGGTATCTGATGAAGGAATTGGGGAGTATCTTACACTCTTTCAAAGCATGAAAAATGGATCAGATTATAATTTCTCCATCATAAAGTTACCTGCTCATTCTGGAACTCATGTAGATGCACCTGGACATTTTTATGAAAATTATTATCAAGCAGGGTTTGATATCGATAGTCTTGACTTAGAAGTACTCAATGGTATTAGAGACATATTTACCTACTTACCCTTGGCCTTTTTACTTTCAGCTTTATTGTTTGTATCTGGTTTTTCTCACAACTCTATTTATTCTTCATTGTGGGCTGATGTTCCATTTCTTTTTTCTTCATAGGTCCAGCATTATTAGTTGATGTTCCAAGGGACAAGAACATAACAGGTAACATTCCATTATGTTTCGTTACCTTTAATCTGAAATTGCTTCTATATGTAAATTTGCTTCAAGTAAAATATGTTTTCTAATCTCCATAGGAGTTGTTATGATGACTTGTTAACTTATATTTCAGCTGAAGTTATGGAGGCCTTGAAGATTCCCAAAGGAGTAATGCGTGTGCTTTTTAGAACATTAAACACTGATAGGTAACTTCTTTTCACTCTTTTAGTTTTAACAAGAATCAATAATCACATGGTGCTTGTTATACTTTCTAAAATTTCCTGTTATTTTGATCTAATAACATTGTAATTTTAACCCCTAAATGAATGAGAGTAAATTACTAATATAGTTGCTCATTATTTTTTCAATAGGCCTATAAGCCTATAATTCATTAGGTCTACCAGTAATTCAGTTTCTAGTTTCTCATAGACCGTGTGTAACGCACCCAGTTCATAAACTTGAACACGAACAGTAATTATAAAATACCATATTCTATATTAAAAAAAAAAATCAGAATTGGAACAGTAACATTATAGGTAAAAAACTAAAGTGGATCCAATTTGTTTAAAAAAAGAAAGTGTACACTTCAATCTACCTGTTGTCTTTTTTCCTTTCCTATTCTCCAAGTCTTCTTCATCTAAATTCTCCTAAGCCATTTCTTTTGGTCACAAACTTCAACCTTTCTGTGTATGTGTTTTTGGGATTCGTGTCTCACTTTTTGTGTGGGCTGTTTTTTTTTATCTGAATGTGAAACGATATTGGAGTCGAATGAAAACCAGTTTGTCGGTTCTTTTGCAATTTAACGACATTATGAATGTAAGAATATGTACTCCAATTTCTTTCTGAAGAGCTAGTAATCTGGTGTTTTGGTTTCATATGTTGACCACCAATTTGTTCCATTGATTGTCATGGCATACGCTTGTGTTTCCACAATGGAATAAATCCCTTTTCATATGGGGTGTTACGAATTGGTCTTGTAACAGTTATTCCTATTCTGTATTTTTCAGCAATTCTACGAAAGACTTCCATAACACCAAACACAACTTCTTTGTTTAGATTTGATGCTTTTCTTGGAATACTACCAGGTGCTAATATTTCAAGATATAGTGTATCATAAAAGCTTGGGGTTAATGTAAACCCTAAACAATGAAGTGGGATTGTCATTTTGTCCCTCCTAGCTATAATTATATCTCAACTTGTGAGCAATGGCCCTTAATTTCACCCAATATGTTATCCATTTTTTTTATAGATCTTACCTTTTTTAAGACCTTTACCATCACAAAACATTATTAGTAGAAAAATAGGTTTGGTAATTGCCAAAACATTTTCAACATCTTCCCAAAATTCATCATCTTTAATTGTATCAACAACTTGTAACCTAATAGTTCTCGTGTTTCTGTCCTCATTTTTAACACATTCCCTACGAGAACAAAAGAAAATAGTTGTGGCAAAAGCTTCCTTACGATCCATATTTTTTTTAACAAAATATAATGTGATGCAAACCGGGTTTTTCGCCACCTTCAATCCACTCTAATTTTGGATTTTGTCGAAAGATTATATGGCGTAAGTGAGGTTAAGAAAGTAGTTAACATTTACCTTATCTCTCTTATACGTGTTGCTAACCAGTAAAATTCATTTGCCAAGTCTATGAAATTCAAATTTAAAGTGTGAACGCAACAAGGATACCACAAGATATGTTTGTATACCTTCTCGATCTCTCGTCCGACTACTTTGCAACCATTGTCCGTTACCACTTGAAACATGTTACCTGGTCTGACGGTCTTGATAACTTCAAGTAGAAATTTAGAAATCTCTACTGTTTTTACGACTCCCGAAAGATCATCCGAATACATAAACCTCACACCACGAGAGAATTCACAACTATAACATTGATAAGCTGCATGCATATGCTTAACATTAGACCACCTATCAAAGATGATTGAAACTCCTTGAGTGTACCAAGTATCTTTAACCAGAGTTGGATCCTTCTTAACATTCTTAACACGTTCATCAATCAACACTGTTCTAACTTTTTCACTTAATGGAGGTTTGTATCCATCCGGTGCTTTTTTATGGTGTTAGCCATTTCAAGAAATTGTGGGTTGCGTAACACATTGAAAGGAATCCCGTTTGCGCACAATCGTCTAATGATCTTCATGTCCACCGCACTTTTGTCCAATATCTCAAAAGATTCTTCAATACGTTTCTTTGAGGATGCATTTTTGGAAAGTAGAGAATTCTTTAAAGACTTAGAAACACCCACTATTTTTTGCTTCTTTTACCTTATTCAAAAGGCTTTCATATTTCTCTCGATCTCTACGCAAAGCTAGACTATTTAATTATTGTTCCTAATTGATATGTAATGCGCCTCTAGTTCGATAATTAAATAGTTCCCAATCGTGATTTTGACTTTAGTTTCTCAAATTGGTACATTGATTTCAGAATGATGTTAAATCATGACTCTTAGATATACACTTTACTGTACCGATCCTTAGAAAGACAATTCTTTTTGAACTTCGGATTCATTGTACGAACTTAACAATTTGATGGTTCAGTTTCTCATTTTGACTCCTATGTATACATCTATATAATACTCAATTTGTTATCATCTTCTACTATTTTCCTTCCCTCCGTCCAAAAGAACATGAGATGGAAGGATTTAGTGATTTGTTGATGAGGACCAAAGTAGATCAACTACAAGTGAAACACAAGGAAGGGTCTATTGATGAGAAGGATCAAAGCAAAGTAATGTTAGAAAAAGCAACTTTTGTTGGTTTCGGTAGTAGTAAAAATCTAGGAGGTGCAAAGCAATGGATTTTCAATCACTATAAAGATAAGTACACTGGTTCTTATACCATAATTTATGTCAATTTTTTTGGGCATCCAGTCGGGAAAAAAAACTACTAAAGATTAAAAGATTCCAGCTTTTGTTGAGATCGAGAGAAGTCTGAAAGCCTTTTGAATAAGGTAAAAGAAACGGAAAATATAAGAATTTCAAAGTCTTTAAAGAGTTTGGTACTTCCCAAAAAGCATCCTCAAAGAAAAGAATCTCTTGGAATATTGGAAATAAATGCGATGGATATGGAGATCATTCAAGGATTATGTGCAAACAGGATTCCTTTCAATGTTCTACGCAACCCACAATTTCTTGAAATGGTTAACGTCATCAAGAAAACACTGGATTGATACATACCTTCATCGAGTGAAAAAGGTAGAATGGTGTTGCTTGATAAGTGTGTTAAGGGATGTTGGGAACGGTCTAACTTCAGTCAAAGAAACTTGGTACGCACAAGGAGTCTCAATTGTCTCTGATTCGTGGTCTAATGTTAAGCATATGCCGATATCAATGTTATTACCTTGAATTCTCATCGTGTTAGGTTTATGTATTTGGATGATTTTTCGTGATCTGAAAAAACAGAAGTAGAGATTTCTAAATTTCTACATAGAGATATAAAGATCGTTAGACCAAGTAACATGGATGAGAGTTCAAGAAGGTGTATAACATTTATTTGGTCCCCTTGTTGTGCTTACACTTTAAATTTGATTTTTCAAAGCAAATTAATTTAGTAATACGTATAATAGATGTAAGGTAGTTGTTAACTATTATCTTAACCACACTTATGTGTTATCAATCTTTCGAAAAAAAAAAAAATTAGAGTTGTTGAAAATGTGGAAAACCCGATTTGCATCACATTATATTTTGTTAAAAAAATTATGAATTGTAGGGGGACTCTTGCCACAACTATTGTTCGTAGTTCTTGGAGGGAATATGTTAAAAATGAAGACGAAAACCCAAGATTTAGTGGGTCAAAAGTTGTGGATACAATTAAGGATTATGTATTTTGGGAAGATGTTGAAAATGTTTTGGCAATTATTAAACCTATTTTTCTATTAATCAAGTTTTGTGATGGTAAAGGTCCTAAAAAAGGTGAAATTTATGAAAAAATGGATAACATGTTTGGTGAAATTAAGGACATTATAAAAAAATACATATTACAACTATTACCCGCAAGTTGAGATAATAGTTATAGCTAGGTGATAGAAAATGACAATCCAACTTCATTATCTTCGTTTGCATTAACCCTAAGATTTTATGATAAACTATATCTTGAAAAATTAGCAATTGATAAGAGGAACAACTGTTATGAGGGCAATTTGTAACATCCATATGATGAAAAGGATCTATTCAATGGTGGCAACACAAACGGATGTCGTGACAATAGATGGAATAGATTTGTACTCAACTTATGGATCCGAAACATCAGAATTAGCCAAAGTAGCCAAGGTACATTCGCAACCGATTAGTAGCTCTTCGACGGAAAGAAATTGGAGTACATATTTTTACATTAACAATGTTGAGAGAAATCGGTTAAATGTCAAAAGAGCTGACAAATTGGTTTTCATTAGACTCCAATATCGTTTTTCACATTCATATAAAAACGGCTCACACAAAAAGTGGAACATGAATCCCGAAAGACCACGTATATAGGCTCAAGTTCGTAACTAGAAGAAATGGTTTGAAAGAATTTAGATGAAGAAGACCTGGAGAACGGGAAAGGAAAAAGACCGCGGTTAGATATGTCCACCCTAGCGAACTGCGTGCCCATGACAAACTATCCGACTATGGTTATGGCTTTGATAACATAAAAAAATAGTTCTAAAACGTCTTAATAATAGATATTGAACAACTATATATATAATACAAATCATATGAAAGAAATCATCTACATGGATTATCCTAAAAAAATGAATGCTATTATTTGGATCCTTCTTTTTAATCTTAAACAATATATTTGTGTCTGATTGGTAACAAGATGAAATATGAACAAGTAATAGCACTAATTGTGTAAGCTTACTTTAATTAATCCTTTGTTTCATAATGTTATTATTTTTTGGGTTATCCATTTCAGACGATTAATGTCCCAAACAAGATTTGACACAAGCTATGTGGGATTTATGAAGGATGGAGCCCAGTGGTTGAAAGACAACACTGACATCAAACTTGTTGGTAAAACACTCTCTTATCCAGTGTGGATTTTTACAAATATACCCCTGATTTGTGAGAACAAGTGTGTTTGTCATCTATTGCTTGCTAAAAAAAGTATTTTTTATTTTTATTTTTTTTTATTTTGTAGGTATTGATTACTTGTCGGTTGCTGCATATGATGATCTCATTCCTGCACATCTTGTTTTCTTAAAGAGCAGGGTAAAGACATATATTCTCCCTCTTGCAAAACATACTTCCAGAAGGTGTTTAATTATTTGTTAAATGTCTAAAATACCCTTTAACAAAATTGAACACTGCTGCTTTTTGTGGTTTTCAGGAAATCATTCTTGTTGAAGGTTTGAAACTTGAAGATGTGGAAGCGGGATTATATAATGTCCACTGCTTACCCTTAAGGTTACTAGGAGCAGAAGGATCTCCCATTAGATGCATCCTAATCAAGTGATACTAGTAATAGTAAAGCATGTTCATAAATAAACTATGTTTCTTTTCAACAACTTTCCTTTGTTTTTTGACTTTTCATTGTAAACTAGCAGTTAGTTCTTGCAAAAGTACAAAAACAGATACTGTGGTTTTATATAATAATCAGGTTTGGTAGATCATGATGCACACTTATTGCTTGCATATGTTTGTAGTTAAATATGATAGGTGCTGCAAAAAGACTTTATTAGAAACCAAAATCAAGCTATGTTTGTGCAAGATTAACAAACACTGTATTGTTGCTATAGAATTACAATCATTTAGAGTGAAAAAAGATCCTTGCAAACTAAGTTCACCAGGATTATCTTCACTATTATTCTATTAACCCTAGGATAACATTCATTTGAAAACCTATATAACTAATGTTATGCCTGTAATCTTTTGTGTGTGTGTGTGTGTGTTTTAACAGCAAGGCTTTATTAAAATAACAGCAAGAAGCTGAAATTACAAGCTACAATAGACTGGGTTATCAACCCATGACTCTCAAGATAAAGATCTCCCCCACCTAACTCTACTTTTAAGCCAAAAAAAACCCTAAAGCTTTGACATCAAAAGCAAGAAAAGAAGGGTTTTTCACTTTGCTATTAAAGATCAAACCGTTCCGGTACGTCCATATAACCCATAAGAAGGCCCTAAAGATCGCATCCATAATATCTTTCTTTCTACTATCTTTTTTATGGATTGAGTTTACTCCAATGAGGTTGTCCAAAGAGTCACTGTCATTGAGAGCATCCTTCCACCACACATGTAGAAGTGCTCCCAACTCCTTAGTGGTTGAACAATATTTAAATATATGATCTTCATTATCCTCAAAAACGTTACACATCGGGCATAACGTAATTGGAATACCCCCCCCCCCCCCCCCCCCCCCGAGCAAGGTTAGCTCTCGTCGGTAGTCTACCAAGTCTAGCACGCCATATGAAAATGTTGATTTTCCCTGGAACAATGTTAGTCTAAATTGTAGGCGTATTGGTAGACTCCAAGAAGCTTTTGTCAATTTCTTTCCTAAGGGAAAATACAGTGAAATCGCCACTAGCATCAAGACTCAAACATCACTTATTACCATTGGAATTACCCCCATAATCATTACTTCTATAGAAAAGTGTATTAAGATCAATATTAAAAGGCTCGAGATCCTTACACACGTTGTTTATTCTGCCCCAAACGGTATTCCTTTTACCCATTGGTATAGTCACTCCTAGCCCCCCATGATCCCCATAAATGCAAGTAATAACCTTTTTTCAAATTCCTTTTGTATCATCTTTATAGCGCCACCACCACTTCATGATAAGAGCAAGGTTACACGCTCGTAAGCATCCAATCTCTAAGACCCCTAAAGCTTTGGAGTTCATGGTTTTCTACCACATAGTCAAGGTGGTCTTCCTTTGATCCGAGGAAGTACCCTAAAGGAACCTGTTACGGATATTTTCAAGCTTTGAAATTACCTTTTTAGGGACTTTAAAAGGCAAAAAGAGAAATGTTCCAAGGCTACCAAGAACATACCTTATCAAGGTTAATCTCCCTCCTATGGAAAGAGTTCTCACTTTCCACATCGAATTTTTTTTGGAACTTGTCAATAAGAGGAACCCACGTTGATACATTAGAAGACTTCCCACCAAGATAATATAACGGAAGTTCGCCCTCATGACACTTCAACGATCGAGCCATAGAAGATACATCTTGTGTATTGAATGTCAAACTAAGGTACTTTCTTTTGTCTATTTTTTGTGATTTGATGTGTAACATCCCAAAAATACGAGCCAAAAATTTCATTTTTTATTTAAGTGATTTGCAAAATGTTTGTAACAAAATATCATTCAACCATATCATATAATAAAACGTGACTCGTGTCTGTAAGCCAAAACGTAAAACATAATAGTGTCAAAGTACAAATCCCAGAATGTCTCATAGTGCGGAAAAACAAAGAGCGTGTGTGTGATGCGCCGCTATCGCACAAGCTCCTTCCCCTTGACAGAAGAGGTACCTGAAACAACAACTGAAAATCGTAAGCACGAAGCTTAGTGAGTTCCCCCACTGTACCACATACCATATAACCACATAACATACATACTGCTAGGCAATTCTGGGGTGCCCGACCTACCCGTTACGGCCATTCTGGGGTGCCGACCTACCCTTGCGGTCATTTTGGGGTGCCGTCCTGCCCGTGTCAAGCCATTCTGGGTGCTGACTACCCATGTCAAACTGTTCTGAGGTGCTGACTAACCTTTGGTCCTAATGACCGAACCTCGGGGACTATTCCCCTCCTACTACCACTAACACATATAACAGATCATGCTACAGACATAGCTGGGGTGTCTGACCTACCCTTCGGTCTTAACGACCGAACTCTACTTCTATCACATATAACATATCATGCTGGCATATAACATATCAGGTAGTAGCAAACCTATATGATATCACAAAGACAATCATCTAACATACAACTCCTACTAGTGGGCCGGCATTGTGGTCGTAGACCCATCGCTACTGGAAGGTAACTCACCTCGAAAAGTAGCTGCTGAAAGTCTGCTTGCTAGATGTCTGACTGTTGAACCGGTAATCCTCCGGCTATAAATCATAAACATAGATTAGTCACTCAGAAATACCCTTAGGTCAAAAGACTGACCCACCCCTGGTCCAAGGTCAACTCCTTGGTCAAAGTCAACTTTTAGTTGACTGGACTCCGAGTCATGGCACAGACTCGCTGAGTCCCTTCCCTACTAACCCGGTCCTACTCGTCAAGTCCCACTTCCCACTCACTAAGTTACCCTTAACTCACGACTTGGGACGATTGGACCCACTCGCGATCCGACTCCCGGAGTTTGAGAACGACTCGCCGAGTCCCCACGAGCAGATCTCCTACTCGCTTCCAAATCCTCACCAGAGCATCCTTCATGAGGATTTGGGTTCCTGGGACTATTGCTACACGTTAAATTGCTAATTCCACGTGCAAATACGAAGGGTTGGACCTTCAACACTTAAAACCCTCTTATTCAGTAACAGTTCATATGACTTGCCGAGATTGAAGAAAAACTCGTCGAGTTCCAGGCAATCTTCATAGGACTCGCCGAGTTGTTCATCCAACTCGCCGAGTTTAAGACCAACTTCATAGAACTCGTCGAGTTCCACTTTGGGACTCGCCGAGTCCCTTCGACCCATTTCCCATACAGGCCAAATCTGAGACATGTAACGCTTCCAAACCATAGATCTATGTTCCTAGGGCATGCTTATCACGTAAAGTTGCAAACTTTACGTGCATACATGGCCCTATAAGCTCAAACAGGAAAATTCAAGGTCTTTAAGAGGTCATATACTCAATAGGGACCTCAATAACTCCAACCACATAGACTTTATACTTTAAAGATACCCATAAGGTCCAGATCTGAAGTCCTTTCGAATCATAGAGCACAAACACATGGAGTTTGGGGTTTTAGGGCTTGAAAACCACCAGTTAGGGACAAAAAGGAGATCTATCGAACTAATGATCAAGGTAGGAGCTTTTCAACCTGAATGGAAGCCTTTTGCATGGTAGATTTCGGATCTACTTCCCTTCCTTGCACTCTTCCACCTTCTTCTTCTTCTTCTTCTCTTAAGCTTCAACTACCTTCACAAGGACAAAATCACTCACAAGAACAATAAGGGGGGCTAGGGTTCGTCCTTCAGCTTCTTTGGGAGTGCTAGGGGTAAGGGAGGCCGAGTTAGAGTGTTTAAATAGGGTGCAAACACTCGGGTTAGGGTTTTTGCCCAGACAGGGTCTACTCACCGAGTCCGGGAACCGACTCTCGAGTCCAAAGCTTAGACCCCGTGCCTTATCCCGCTTCTACTCGGCGAGTTCGTCCTCCAACTCGCCGAGTCCAAGGAAAAAATGCATTATTTAAAGAATATTAATTACAAGAAATACATACCAGGAACCAGGTGCTACAAATCTCTCCCACTTATTTTAGACTTCGTCCTCGAAGTCTGCTGCTCGACCCTGAAACAACTCAAGGTAATGCTCCATCGTCTCTTCCACCGGCTCCCAAGTCCACTCCGATCCCTTCCGGTGCTTCCATTACACCTTCACGAGCTCCACCCTCTTGTTCCTCAACTCTTTCGAATTTCGGTCGAGGATTGCTACTGGCCTTTCAATGTGATTCAAGCTATTGTTGACCTGAATATCCTCCAAAGGCACTACGGCCGAGTCGTTCACCATACACTTCCGCACCTGAGACGTGGAAAGTGCGGTGGATCTGGCTGAGTTCGGCTGGCAGATCCAGCCTATACGCTACCTTGCCCACCCGGGCTACAACCCTGAATGGCCCGATGTACCTTGGGCCCAACTTGCCTCGCTTTCTAAATCGGATGACGCCTTTGTTGGATTAATGTCTAAGTCCATAACTATTTTGGTATGTACTTGACCCGATGGTGCATGGTCCTTTTGGGTTACCTTCACCAAAGCAACTTGATAGGATGAATATATTAAAGGAGAAATCATATTGTTTAATTAATATTAGTCAATAATTAATAAGAATTAAGTTTGTGGGTAAAAGACATTAATTAAACTTAAGGGACTGGAACTGTCAATTGTATGATAGTTGAATATTGGGCTAATAGACTCCATATTAGAGGGGTGGACGGATTCTATGGGGAAACCCATTAGAAATCGTCCTAGGCCTCTAAGGAGGGAGTCCATGGGTTGCTTAGGGCTTAAGCATCCAAATTAGGGTTTCCTTGTTAGATAACCCTAATAGCCTCACTATTTAAAGGACCCTTGAGACTCAAAAACGTGGTGAACTTGTTCCTTAGGGTTTCCACACGTTTTGGGCAGCCTCCCCTCTCCTTATTCTTCATCATCTTGCTTTTGGTGTTTGTGAACCATTAGAGGAGTGACATTTGTGACTCTAAGCTTTCTAAAGTCATTACAAGGAGGATTTGAGATTGTTATTGCTACATAACAATCAAGGTAAGATCTAAAACCCTTTCTTATGTTAATATGATTAATTGTATGCTAGATCTAGGGTTTAAAGTCTTGGATGTATTGCATGTACAATAGAGAAACCTAGATCCAAGCATTAGGGTTTGCATTAGCACATAGGATGTTCTTATGGCTAAAACCCATCAACCTTTCCATGGCGACGCCTTCAGAAGAACCATGTCCCCGACTTGGAATTCTAAGTCTGAACGGCGCTTGTCGGCATAACTTTTCTGCCGACTCTTTGCAGTCTGA